CTTTTATGGAGAGACGAAGACCTTCTCACCGTCTGATCACCCTCAAAATTGGACAACTTATAGAAGAATCAACCAGCTTTTAAATGCACTTAGTTTGGAGATATTCCAACGGTTGGATCTCAAGATATTCCATTAGCCCCGGAGTCACTCGAAGGCGGCCAGCAAGTCACGCGACCGCGGCCAACAGCCCATTTCCCGCGGTCAGAAGCTACCCGACCGCAGCCAACCACCTATTCCCCGCGGTTACGTCACTCCAGACCGCGGCCGTCAAACTCCAAACTAAAGCCCATATTTCTGAAGCCCAAAGTCATTCTCAGCCTCAATTCCGGAACCCTAGAGACCATGGAGTATTGAAAACTTATAAATACTTGTCATTTAGGTCGTTTTTAGACAGAACCCTTCATACTTTACAGAAACCCTTTTCCTTTAGCCGTTTTTATGCGATTTTTGTAGAAGATTGTTCAAGTCCGAGTTCTTCAATAGAGAAGCTTTCTTCATCTCTTTTCTTTACTGTTTTTGATTTCTTTTATTAATGATGATGTCAACCTCAGCCATGTCTGAGTAGATCCCGAGTTGGGCTTAGGGTTCCCGAAAGGGGCTCTCGTAATCGATTAAGACATCTAGGTTTATAGATCTGGGATTTCAACTTTGTTCTCTGTTTATTCTTGTTGTTATTGCATGTATGCTTGATTGATCACCTAGTATCTGATCTAGATAGTTAGTGTTGCGAAAGTTTTCATTAAGTATCAGCCCTAGAATGAAACAGGCGATATTTCCGTAGGAGTGGAAACCTACCTGCGGCGAGATCGTGAGTATTGACGAGCCTTGTGCAGCTCTTGCGTTCTCTCCCTTCAAGGGCAGAGTGGAAACCTACTGGTCAGGGTTGCGAGAAACAGTTGGTTATGATCACGACAGTGACGTAGTCATACCGCCGTACTCTAGCTCTAGAACCCTATATATCGATATCCGTCAATCCCAATCTATCTACCCTAGTGTCAAAACCGATTATGATCCCTTAGAGTTCCCAAAAGCTCAGCGTTTTTAGCCATAGTTTACAAACCAATCGATTTTTACTTGTTTATTTAGATCTGCATTTCAATTGCCTTAGTTCGATATTTTACTTGCTTTACTTGCTCTCTATTCGATTTTTCTACTTGCTTTATAGGATAGATTTATTTGCTTTCTTTAAGTTTTAGTTTAATTCGTGATAAACAACCAACCTTTAAAACCAATCTAGTCTAGACATAAAGTTAAAAAGCGTAGAAGAATACCAGGCACACAAATCTCTGTGGATTCGATCCCTAAATACTACAATTGATTAGCTGTGCACTTGCGGCTTTCATTTGTTTTTGATAAGGGTAAAACTTGTTCCCTCACGCAGTTGACACGACATCAAGTTTTTGGCGCCATTGCCGGGGGTTAGTTTCGCTGCCTTTTGCTAATTTTCTTGTTTTAATTTTTTTCTAGACACCTGATGTCTAGTTCTTTCTTAAAGTTTTGCAGAATTATATTTCCCTTCTTTTGTTTTTATCTGAACTGCATGAATACCAGGCGCAGACCTGTAGAAAACATTCCAATTCTAGACGAGATTGACAGACACAAAAGAGAATTTCGAAGACTTAGACGAACGCAAGGAATGGCCAACGATGACCAGCCTGGAGATCCTATTAACCGAGCTTTAAATATGGACCAAGACGGGTGCGAACATGGAGAAAATGAAGAGAATGATCACATAGGAGGTGATCATGCTCGACACGATGGAGAGGAGAATGAGGTTCCTCCAAGAAACCACCAAAACCGCGAGAGAGAAGAATGTGAAGACCTTGATGCACCCATCAATACAGCCGATGGTGACCACCAAGGAATGCAGCCGAATGGGCGCGTTAACCGCCCTGTGCAGCCCGCAAATCAACACCGAAGACAAGCCAGGAACCATCACATAGCTAATTTTGATGCACCTACTCAAAATTTTCAGAACCGATCTGCAATTCAAGTTCTATTTCCGAACCAGAATGAGTTTGAAGTCAAGCCTCAAATCATCTCATTGGTGAAACAAAACCAATTCCATGGAGTCCCTTCCGAACACCCAATGGACCATATCGAGCTCTTTGAAGAAATCTGCAGCATGATGAGAACAAACCAAGTTCCAGCAGACTATTTAAAGTGTAAGTTGTTCCCTTTTTCATTAGCAGACAAAGCTCACCGTTGGTTGAAATCTTTGCCTGCAGGATCGATTACTAATTGGGAAGAGTGTAAAACTGTTTTCCTGAATCACTTCTATACTAAGTCAAGGTCGAACCAGTTGAGAACAAAGATCTCAAGCTTTCAACAAGGCCCGACTGAATCTTTCTATGAAGCCTGGGAACGTTTTAAGGAGTACGAACGTGATTGCCTTCACCATGGATTTCTTGGATCAAGCCTGCTGAGCACATTTTACCGAGGTTTGCAACCAAAATACAAAATTTCACTTGATACAGCTAGCAATGGAGATTTTGGACAAAAGACGATAGCCCAAGGAAGAGCCCTCATCGAAAATTTGGCTCAAGCCAATAGCAATGATTGTCCTGAATACGATCGCTCGACGAAGCAAACCGGAACAAACATCAAGGAGATAACCGAGTTGAAGAACATGATGAGCCAGCTTTTGAAGAGCAACAATCGCCCAATCCATGCTTGTGAGACCAACAATGGCGCAGAAGATGAAGGACCCAGTGATATCGATCACATTAATCAAGCCTTTCAAGAAGAAGAGGTGAACTATGTAGGAGCACTAGTACCATATCAAAATCGCTTCAACAATGGTTTCAACAACAACTTCCGGAATGCAAACTACAGCAATCTCTCTTACCGCAATCCAAATGTGGAGAATCCTCAAGATCAGTACTACCCACCACAGCAGAAATCCTTCCAAAACAAGTTCCAAGGTGGGAACTTCGGAGGGACAGGACCATATCAACCGCGACAACCATACGACTACCAAGGTATGGGTTTTAACAATCAATTTGTACAACAGCAAGGAGTCACGACGAACCAGCTAGCTTCACAAATCGGTAGACTTGAACAGTCCATCAACCAGCTCGTTATGACAAACGAAAAAGCATCTAAAGACGTGAACGTGAAAGTTGACTGCATGTACAATGACTTGAACGGGAAGTTTGAAGCTTTATCTTCGCACGTCAAAAAGCTAGACGTGCAAGTTCCCAAACAGCCGACTCTATGAAGAGGCAAAGTGGAGTTCTTCCAGGAAGAGTTGAACATAACCCTAAGAGGTTTTGCAACGCCATAACCACATTGCCCGAAGAAGAGGCCAGAACCAATGGAAAGAAAGAAGAAACCCCAATCTTTGTACCACTGTACAAGGATGTCGATGCCAAGCAGCCACCATTTAATGTACCTGAACGATCACCGTTTCAAAGGGTTACAAAAGCCGACGATCCGGGATGTTTTGTTTTCCAATGTTTCATTTCAGGAATCAAGTTCACAGATTGCTTGTGCGATTCCGGAGCCAATGTCAACATCATGTCAAAGACATTTGCCGAAAAATTGGGCATAAAAACCTTAAGGACATCGACGGTTAAGGTTATTTTTGGAGATTCATCTCAAAAAGATACTGAAGGGGCGATTTGTGATCTACAAGTTCTAGTGGGAGATAAGATTGTTCCAGCAGATTTCCAAGTCCTGGAGATGGATAAAGACAAGGAGAGGCCACTCATTTTTGGGAGACCATTCCTAGCTACCGTAGGAGCAGTAATCGATCACGCAAACCGGCATGCTGTTTTCCTCAATGTGGATCGCAGAAGGTTTTATCCGACTATCCTAGATGATTTTCCAAGCAAAGGAAACCGGCCAAAAGAGAAAGAAAAGGAGAAGCCGAAAGCCTTTGCAAAGATCAAGATCATCATTCCACCCGATTGCAACAGAAACTAGTGAGGACCAAATCCAGGAGCTGATCGAAAACACAAAAAGGGTTTTAAACAATGTTAAGGTCCGAAAGAAGAGTAAAGGAAAGAAGACGGTTCCTCAAGGAGAAGAAGTAAAACCTCCAGCGACCGGAACTGATAAGGGCACATCAAGTGGTGTGCCATTTAAATCAGCCTGATTCTTCATACCTACGTCGAGCTAAACGACTTAAAACAAAAGCGCTTAATGGGAGGCAACCCATTTAGCTACTCTTTCTTTTAGTTTTCTTTTCCTTTTTACAATTTGTGCTTTCTTTTTATTATAAGTTTCAGATATTTTATAAAACAAAAACACAAAAAATCAGAAAATTAGAAAAACCAAGAAGAAAAGGATAAGTTTTTAGCTGCTCGGCCCGGTAAAGACCTGAAAGTTGGACGAAGGCCGCAGGAGAAAGGGCCGCAGTCGCGACCAAACGACCCGCAGCCAAGGGAGCATCGACCGCGGCACCAAGAATGTGACCGCAGCCGAGCACTCAATCGCCGCTGTCGCGCGTCTCCTGACCGCAGCCGTTGGTCGTTGAGACAGGAACTCGGATTTCCGCCGCTTTTCAAAAGTTACCTGGTGTTTCCCGGTGTTTCCCAGTTGATGCAGAGCATCCTTATCCTTTTAGGAAGTTCACGTCGTTTAGGTGTTTATGTTTTGACGTGTCCTTCAAGTTTTATGTCTTCTTTCATAATTTCCTTTTAATTGTTTTTTCCTTTTCAATTAGGAATCTTAAATAGCTTAAGGGTTTGTCCGAGGCTATAAAGGATTCTAGGCTTTTGTTTTTGATTCAGACTTTTTGATAAGATTAATAAAAAAAACCAAAAAGAGGAAACTCAAGTTTCCCAAAGAGCTTTGCCTTGCTTAGCGCTGAGAGGAGCACTCTCAAAACCTAACCTTCGTTCGTTTTACGTTCTTCACGAGTTAAGAGACGAATCGATACCGGGACTCTTCGGGATTTCGTGTTACTCTTCGTTAATTAGCTTCCGCTACTCCACCAGTTGGTATCAGATTACAGGGACTTTTCTGGATTCATTCGTTTGTCAAAGACATTCATCATGCCTCCAAAGAAGGATTTACGTGAAGATATCTCCATGGCTGATCTGCAACGTTCCCTGGTAACAATGCAGGAAAATCTCCAAGCCTCGTTTCAACAATCAATCCGTGCATTAGGCGAAACACTTGCTCAGAATCAACAAACACTAATCACTGCAGTCACCGCTAACAACAGAATCGTTGCTGGCAACAACAACGTCAATGACGGTGACAATAACCAACCTCTACAACGCCAACAGGAGGGCCGAAAACTTCCCCAAAACAATCCAATGGGTGATCGTAGGTGGGAATCAGGCCTTAAAGTCGATATCCCGGAATTTCAAGGCAGTCTGCATGGGGAAGATCTGATCGACTGGATTATTACAGTGGAAGAAGTCCTGGAATTTAAACAGGTCCCACCCGACAGACAAGTTTCTCTTGTTGCAACCCGATTCAGAGGTCGTGCGGCATCATGGTGGCTTCAACTTAAAGCCAACAGAACTCGTTTGGGAAAAACACGGATTGCAACCTGGGAAAATTTGAAAAAGCATCTTCGCACTCAGTTTCTTCCTCTCAACTATGATCGTGTTATGTTCACCAGGCTACAAAATCTCCGCCAAGGCACTCGAACTGTTGATGAATATGCAGAAGAGTTTTATTTACTCTTAACCCGCAATGAGTTGCACGACACACAAATCCAATTGGTTTCCCGATTTATTGGTGGCCTTCGTCCGCAACTCCAAAATTCTCTTGCTCAATTCGACCCGACAACACTGGCCGAAGCACATCGGCGAGCTGTGGCCTTCGAAGCTCAGTCCAGCGCTAAATCTTCATGGAATACGTCGAATAGATGGAAAACTCGTCCTCAAGGGGCAGACAATGACAATGCCATTCCATCGACTCCTACAGGAGGATTCACTGACGTTTCGAACAAGCAGATGGGGGAGAACCGAGCTTCAACAGAGGACAGTACTCTTCGACGATCAAATCGTCCGAATGCCCTTCGGTGTTACTCTTGCGGTGAAGCAGGTCATCGCCAAACCGCATGTCCAAATCAACAGCGACAAGGCTTACTCTTAGACGGCAGCGACCCTCTCAATGAATGTTCAGATAATGGCGACGAGGATCAGGTCGAAGAGGTTCATATCTATGGCGACAAAGACGCACTGTCGTTAATGATGCGTCATATTTGCTTAGCACCACAGGGTTATGAAGAGCCATGGCTAAGGACGAACATCTTTCGTTCTACCTGCACGATTAAAGGGAAATTGTGCCACTTGGTCATTGATTCAGGTAGCAGCCGCAATGTGGTATCGGAAGAAGCTGTTAAAAAGCTGGGATTGCGACGTGACGAACATCCAGCACCTTATTCACTTGCTTGGATTACAGAAGGCACTGATGTGAAAATCACCCAACATACTCTGGTTTCATTTTCCATCGGTACCGTCTACAAGGACACCATCTATTGTGATATTTCTCTTATGGATGTTAGTCACCTCATCCTCGAACGCCTGTGGCAATATGATCGCGATACTTGTCACAATGGGAAGAAAAACACATACAGTTTTCTGTTCGATAGCCGCAAAATAGTTCTCGTACTACCAACAAAATCGTCGCCTTCCCACCAACTATTGCTGTGCTCTCGTTCTCAGTTTGAAACAGAGTTTAAAAACTCCGGATTTTTGTTGGCACTGCTTCCAACTTCTCTTAAACCCGCAAAGTCCACACCACCATTGAAACCAGAGTTCGCGGAGCTTATTCGAGAATTTCATGATGTGTTTCCCGAGGATCTTCCTGAGAGTTTGCCTCCTTTGCGCGACATACAACACCAAATTGACCTTGTTCCTGGTGCCACATTGCCCAATCGATCTCATTACCGTATGAGCCCTCAGGAACATAAGGAATTACGACGTCAAGTAGAGGGTTTGTTGGCCAAGGGACACATTCGCGAAAGTCTTAATCCGTGCGCGGTTCCTGCGTTGTTGATCCCGAAAAAAGACGGTACGTGGCGAATGTGTGTCGATAGTCGCGCGATCAACAAAATCACAGTACGCTATCGTTTTCCTATTCCGCGTCTGGACGATTTACTTGATCAGATTGGCAAAGCTACGATTTTTTCCAAGCTGGATCTCAAGAGTGGATATCACCAGATACGAATTAAACCCGGTGATGAATGGAAGACAGCTTTCAAAACACGTGAAGGATTATTTGAATGGCTTGTTATGCCATTCGGGTTATCTAATGCTCCTAGTACGTTCATGCGTGTTGTGAATCAAGCTCTGCGGCCTTTTATTGGGAAATTTGTCGTCGTCTACTTCGACGATATACTAATCTTCAGCTCCTCCCTCGACGATCACCTCCAGCATTTGCGAAACGTTTTGGACATTCTTAGGCGAGATCAATTCTTTGTTGCGAAACACAAATGTGACCTGGGTACTGATCATGTTTTGTTTCTAGGATATATGGTCTCCAAGGATGGACTTTCGGTGGACAAAAACAAAGTGGAAGCCGTCCAGTCTTGGCCTGTTCCGCGTTCACTTACCGAAGTTCGTAGCTTCCATGGATTGGCTTCTTTTTATCGTCGTTTTGTTCCTCATTTTAGTAGCATTATGGCGCCTATTACTGATTGTATGCGTGAGGGAAAATTTACCTGGACGGATGCGGCGTCAACTGCTTTTGCAACGATAAAGGACAAACTTACATCAGCCCCCATCCTTGTCTTGCCCGACTTCACTCAGGCGTGTGAACTCCATTGTGATGCATCTAAATTGGGCATTGCTGTATTAAGTCAGCAGGGGCGTCCCATTGCTTATTATAGCGAGAAGCTGTCCGGTGCTCGTATACGCTACAGTACGTATGATATTGAATTTTATGCGGTGGTTCAAGCAATTAAACACTGGAGGCACTATCTGTTTCACCGCGAGTTCATATTATTCACCGATCATGATGCGCTCAAACATCTTGATAGTCAGGCCAAAGTTTCTTCTCGCCATGCAACATGGATCACATTCTTACAGCAGTTTACGTTCACCATTCTCCACAAAGCTGGTAAACTTACCGTGTGGCAGATGCTCTTAGTAGACGGCATGCTTTGGTCGTGACGATGCACACATCGGTTCCAGGGTTTGCAAATTTGGCAGATCTTTATTGTTCGGATCCCTTTTTTCTCGGATTTTAGGTGAAGTTTCTCTTGGTAATTCGACAGACTTTCACCTTCATGAGGGTTTTTTGTTTCGCGGAAATCAACTCTGCATCCCTGAAAGCAGTCTGCGACTTCAAATTATCAAGGAATTGCATGATGAGGGACATGTAGGAAGGGACCGTACGTTGCAACTCGTCACAAACTCTTACTTTTGGCCTTCTATGCGTCGTGACGTTATACGTTTTGTCGAACGCTGTCGTAGTTGTCAACAAGCAAAGGGTTCTGCATCAAATGCTGGGTTATATTTACCTTTGCCTGTGCCAACTCAGCCTTGGACCGATATTAGTATGGACTTCATTCTCGGCCTTCCAAGGACACAAAAAGGCAATGACTCTATTTTTGTTGTCGTGGACAGATTCTCGAAGATGGCTCATTTTATTCCTTGCAAGAAAACGACTGATGCAGTTCGTGTGGCGTCTCTGTTCTTCCAAGAGGTTTATCGCCTTCATAGGTTGCCCACGTCCATTGTGTCGGATCGCGACACTCGTTTTCTGAGTCATTTTTGGAGATCGGTGTGGAAACTTCTTCGAACAAGTCTTGATATGAGTACTGCATATCACCCTCAGACCGATGGGCAAACAGAGGTTACCAATCGTTATTGGGGGAATATGCTTCGCAGTCTTGTAGGAGATAATCTCAAATCGTGGGAATCGAAGCTTTGTATCGCTGAGTTTGCTCACAACCATGCCTCCAATCGCAGTTTGGGTTTTTGTCCTTTCAAGGTTGTTTACGGCATCATTCCGCGTTGTCCGTTGGATTAAGTTCCTCTACCTGATCGCAATCGTCTAAATGGTCAAGCTATTGATTTTGTCGACAACGTACAAACAGTTCATCAAGCGGCTCGTACTTTCCTCGAGGCTTCTAATGCTTCGTATAAAGCAGATGCAGACAAACATCGTCGTGAACTGGTGTTTAATCCGGGTGATCTCGTGTGGGTGGCTATATCTAAGGAACGAATGCCGTCTGGTGAGTACAACAAGCTTCGGTCTCGCAAGATTGGACCCGTGGAAGTATTAGAATGCATCAATGAGAATGCATACAGATTGCGTCTTCCTGCCGACGTTCGTACTTCCGACGTCTTCAACGTTAAGCACATTTTTTCCTTATCACGGTGAAAATGAGGCTCCAGATTCGAGGACAAATCTCTCTCCACCCGGGGGGACCTGATGCAGAGCATCTTTATCCTTTTAGGAAGTTCACGTCGTTTAGGTGTTTAAGTTTTGACGTGTCCTTCAAGTTTTATGTCTTCTTTCATAATTTCCTTTTAATTGTTTTTTCCTTTTCCAATTAGGAATCTTAAATAGCTTAAGGGTTTGTCCGAGGCTATATAAAGGATTCTAGGCTTTTGTTTTTGATTCAGACTTTTTGATAAGATTAATAAAAAAAACCAAAAAGAGGAAACTCAAGTTTCCCAAAGAGCTTTGCCTTGCTTAGCGCTGAGAGGAGCACTCTCAAAACCTAACCTTCGTTCGTTTTACGTTCTTCACGAGTTAAGAGACGAATCGTTACCGGAACTCTTCGGGATTTCGTGTTACTCTTCGTTAATTAGCTTCCGCTACTCCACCACCGGTGTTACCTGGTGTTTCCCGGTGATTCCCGGTGATTCCCGGTGATTGTCGGAGCATTCCCGGTAAAGCACGTTAAGATTTTCCGTAAGTTTTAAACCTCCTTTGCGTGCAAGACAAGTAAGGTAAGTTCCCGTAAACTTAAAAATTCCCGGAAATTTTCCGTTTTTGCTACAAAAACGCTTTTTAAAGAAACAAAATGCACTTTTTAAAGAAACAAAATGCACTTTTTGGATCAAAACTCCTTCTTCTCTTCTCTTCCAAAAGACTTGGAGATTTAGGAGATAGAACACCTTTTTCAATTCTTAAACTTTTTAAGAGATTCTTGGCCTAAACCTGATATGTTCATAATTTGCATCATTTAGGTTGTATATTTCACTCCAAAGCATATCTTATTTCATGCATTTTAGGTCCTTAGGGTTTGTTTTAGGACTTAGGAGATGCATTAGGTCCCAATGATTCTTTGCATGTTTTGAGTTTTTATCAGGTGCATTTGGAGCTATTTGGAGTTGAAGAGGTGAATCCAGGAAGAGAAATGGTGATCAAAGCTTGAAAGGAGGTTCTCGGCCATTCTCGCTGACCAGGAAGGTTTTCCTCGGCCAAAATCTCCGAGTGCAGACCCCTTTCCAAAATGGCATGTCAGGGGAACCTTCCGGTCCGATTCAGATGTCGGGTGCTTCATCAACGTTGGAGAGGGTTGGATCACGGTTCCATAACAAGTGGAATCACTCAATTCGGACACGTGAGCAGAAAGTTAAGCTCGGCGGAAGAAACTCCTGTCTCGCTGCTGTTCTGGACCAAGCCGATGAGCTCTGAATAATACGAAGTACGGTTCACTTCCAGGCCGATTCAGTTTCCGGAGCCTTTAATGAGAATCGGAGACATTTGGGTCCTCTTTCCATAACGTCCGAGATCGTTCAATTCGGAGCTATGAGAAGGAAGATACGGTCTCCGGAATAGACATATGTCTAGACGCCTCTCTCTGATCGTGCAAAGATGAGCCCTCCAGGAAGCCTTCCACTTCCCAAGCACCGAAGCTTCCTTTACCGAAGTTGGAGATATATGAGTTCTCTGTCCTCTGCAACCGGAATCACTCAATTCGGACAAGTATCTCAGAATTTACACTCTCCGAAATGCGAAGTGGTCCAAACAGCCGACACGAGCTAAGTGAAACATGCCGCAATGGAATGCCACGGTCCACACTTGGCCGTGGCACTTAATTGCAAACCTTCGGCGATTGACACGATCTTCATGCCACGGTCTACACTTGACCGTGGCAAAGAGACATTTGGCTGGGAAGGACTTTACAAGCATTCGGCATTTGACACGGTTGAATGCCACGGTCTAAGACTTGACCGTGGAAACTTTTACACACCTTTGGCGATTGACACGGTCAGAATGCCACGGTCTAGGGCTTGACCGTGGCAACTTTTCACAAACCTTCGACGTTTGACACGACCACTTGCCACGGGTTTTGGACGAGACTTGTTAGACTGCAGCACCAAGATGCAACCAAGAACACGCGAACAAGACTTTGACACGGTCAAGTTGCCACGACCACACCAAGAACACACTTGACCGTGGAAAACTCATCTTTATCCACCAAGACCGGGTCAGTACCCGGTTAGTTCCGGGTTGACCCGGTTCGCCCAAGACATCTATATATAGTTTTTAGACCTAATTTGGAGAGGACCTTTGATCCATTTTTAATCTCTTTTCCCATTTTGTGAAAGACCACTTGTTACACTTTGCTTTTGAGTTTAAAATTGATTTAGAGAGTCTTTTCCATCTTGTTCTATCATTTCTTATCATCAAATCACACTTCTAATCATGATTAACAACACATCTTGCAAAGGATCTAGTGTATTGATCATGATTAGTGAGTAATCCCATATTAAGTGGTAGATTAGTGAGCTTAGGGGTTAGATCATGCATATTCCATTCTCTACAACTTGTTCTCTATGCTAGATCCATACAAATCATATGTGGTCTAGATTCTGGGCATTTCATGCACCAAAGGTGTTTGATGAAATGCCTGAACCAAGGTTGTTAGAGGTTTAAGTGTTATTCATCATGGGAATGATTGTCTATATGCTTAAATGACAGATTAAACTGATTCTTAATGCTTGTTAACTCATGTTTCAGTGATGATGATTGGGTTAGAAACTGTTTTAGCATAGGAGTTAATACCTTCATGAGAGGATTAACTTAATTAAAGATGTTTTTGTTGAATGGTTTGCTTGATCATATGATTCATTAGCTCATTAGTTTATCACTGAAGGCACCCTAATCCACTATCATGTCTAAGACCTTTATCATCATCATTCATACATTCTCATCATTTGTCATTGTTTAATTCTTGTTTAACCATTTCATTAGTCTTTAATCCTGTTTAAGTTTGTAGTTGTCTTTAGATAATCAAAACCACTCTTGTTTGCTTGAATTAAGAACCTGATCACATAGTTTAGTGTCTAACACCACATCTGGATTGATAAACCCCTTGTACTACAAGACAGAGGATTGATAACCTCTTTAAAGAGCCTTGAAAACTCTTAGTTATCAATTGGCGCCGTTGCCAAATTGTGGTTGTTTAGCATTAAGCTATGATCTGTTCTTGAGATCAAGTGCTTACTTTCTTGTTTTTACTGATTACTTTCAAGTTCTGTTTGTGATTTCAGGTGTATGAACACCAGGTCTAGATCAAGAAGCTGTGGTCCACCTATCCCCCTCAACGACAATATCAATCTTTTGGTACCAAGGAGGAGAAGGGACAGACGTGGTAGACATATTGATCAGGCTGAGATGTCAGAACAAAGAGATCACGTGGTAGATATAGAACAACCACATCAGGAGCAACAGGCTCACGGTAATGGAGCTGGTAATGGAGTGGGTCAAGGGTTGAATCAGGGTAATGTTCATCAGGAACAGGTGCATCACCAACAAGCTTATGTCCACCAGGAACAAGCTCAAGCTCATCAACAGAGGCATCAGGCCAATGTACAGCAAAGACAACAGGTGCACCACCAACCCCAGCCCTTCCAACACCAACAAAGAAGATATGAGCAACCCCAAGTCTATGTTGGAGAGAATGACAGGGCCAATGCTCATCAGTATGGAGCTGGAATTCAGGCACCACCTGTGCAAAACAACAACTTTGAAGTAAAGGCATCATTGCTGAATATGGTCCAGAACTCAAAGTTCCATGGGTTATCAATTGAAGATCCCTTGGAACACTTGGATCAATTTGATAAGGTGTGTGATCTGACCAAGATTAATGGAGTTTCAGAAGATAGCTTCAAGCTAAGACTATTCCCATTCAGTCTTGGTGACAAAG